GTAGATGGGGAAATGTTCTATTTTAAACAATGTACAATGTGTATGGGGAATGGTTATGATATGTAGTGAGTCAGATTTGGATTCAAAACAATAGTATGTCACATTGGTTATAAGTAGCTAGGCATTAACCATGTAACCACATCCCAGCCACAACACCACATCTTGAATCGAACAGAGGTTGAACTCGGCCGACCTAGACGACGCGGAACAATCCCCTCCCAGCACCTACTGCAACCTTTGATCACAAAGTACAGTTGCTCAGTATGCTCGAATCGGTCCTTAGCCTCAACACCAATAACCCGAACTAGACTTGGCCTGACCTACACCCATCCCTTCCGGGAATGGACTCAGCTACCGCCTCGCTATTGATTTGAACCCGTGATCTTGGCTCTAATACCAATTGTTGGATGTCAGCGTTGCACGATGCTTACTTCCTAGTAAGTCACACATTGCTCCCAGCACCTACCGCAGCCTTTGATCACAAAGTACAGTTGCTCAGTATGCTCGAATCGGTCCTTAGCCTCGACACCCAATAACCCGAACTAGACTTGGCCTGACCGCATGGACGGAGCCAGGATTTGTTGGCGCGGGGGGGCCAATCACAATTAAATTAATTAAAAAGAAAAAAAAATAATTAGACATAGACTAAAGTAGTAAAAATTTGAAGATTGGTAGCAAAATGACATTTTATTATTATTATTATTATTATTATTTTAATAAGTATCATTGCAATGTATTTCATTTGCAAATTAAAAAGCTAACTAGATAGCAATCTATTGTCCAGTGTCCACAGAACATAAACTCAATTTGCAAATCTTTACAAATTGGCAAGTCAATTAAGGTATGTACACTTTAACCTTCAAATATGGCAGGTAATTTTTACAAATCATAAGAATGAATAGAACATAGTATATGTCAAACTAGTACTGTTAAAATAATATAAAATTCAAATGGCTAATTGGAGCCTGAGAGTCTGAAACTGATTATGCTGTGAACAGAAAACTACGGTGACAAATTATGCTGTGAACAAGGTGGGCATAGTTCCATATCCATAATTTCTATATTGTAGATCCATAATTTCTATACTGTAAATTCATAAAATTTATACTTTAGATTCCAATTGTTGAACTCTGTTTTCACAAATCAGAGAACTATATGTTCATAATTTGATAACTATACAGTTTATAAATTATGAATTTACAATACAGAAATTATGAATCTACACTACAGATATTATGAATCTGCAGTATAAAAATTATGAATTTACTGTATAAAAATTATGAATTTACTGTATAGAAATTATGAATCTACTGTATTTAAATTATGAATCTACGGTTTAGAAATTATGAATCTAAAGTATAAATTTTATGAATCTACGGTATAGAAATTATAAATCTACAGTATAGAAATTATAGATCTATTGTATAGAAATTATGAATCTACAATATAGAAATTATGGATATAGAACCGTGCCCACCTTACAAGGTGGATACATGCTCACAATAATGTTCCCTTGCTTGGAGGGGCAAATACTTTGGTATTTTGGTGAGGTTTTGAAAGCTTAAACTTTTGTTTGGAGGGGAGATGCTTTGGTGAGGGGGGCCAAACAAAAAAGCAATATACTATTTTTTTTTTTGATATAGCGAAAATAAAACATATTAAAATTTTATAAAAATATTTATAACAAAATATGAAACATAATTAATTTGATAAAACAATTCGAATATAAAACACATTATAAATTACACATCCCATTATTAATATAAAGAAATATATACATCCCATTATTAATATAAAAAAAGTGATATATACATCTCATTATTATTATAAAAAAGAAAGACATCTCATTATTAATTAATATATATGTATGGATGCCAAAATTTAATTGTGTTGAAGCAAAGATGTAGATGATTTTGACAATGCTATTGCAAGGACTTGAACCCAAGCCATTTCTAAATTCAAACGCACCTCTTACCACCTTGTCTACTAAAGGTTTTAATTATCTAATTTTTTCTGTAATAGTTATACTAATAATGTACTATATATATATATATATATATATATATATATATATATATATATATAAAGGCTATATATAGGGTAGGAGTAGGGGTAGGGGTAGGGGTGGGGGTGGGTTGGATATATATATATATATATATATATATATATATATATATATATATATATATATATCCAGTAATATATTCTGTGCAATTTTTAAGAAGTATTAATTATCATTTCTTTTTCTAATTAACCCACTTTTCATACTATTTTTATTCTCAATTCTTTTTTTTTTTTTTAATTTCCATCATATTCGCACATCTTCCTTATAAATTGTGAATACTATCGATTCTATTCCATTTTCATTAACAAATACTACCTAGCTAACCAATCAACTTAGGTACCTACTGCTAACACAAAGAATCTATCTAGCTATCTAGGTTTATTATGAAGAGAAAATAATTAACTTAATTAGCAAACAGCCTCCAACACGAGCTTCTTGGTATGGCCGCAGTCGCAGTTTTGATTATAATTACTTTAAAATATATTACTATGTAGGTGGATTATAATAATAAAAAAGTAGTAAATAATCCAGTCAGCAAAAACCTAAAATTAACATGTTAAAAATGTTAATTGCTCTTTTTTTTTTCTTGAGGCCAATGGCTTATTTGCTCTTTTTTTCAGGGTTCAATAGCTTATTTGGGGGTTATTTGAATTCGATGACTTTTTTTCTAAATAGTTCAGTGGCATATTTGTACTTTATCCCTATATTTCAAACTATATTAACATTAATTCCTAAAATTTGAAATAAATTAACAATAATTAGAAATATAATAACAATAATTCCTAAAATACACAATAGTATTCAAAACATATTAATCTATAATGCCTAAATTGAAATATACAATAACTCTTAAAATTCGAAATATATTAATTTAAAATGCCTAAAATACTCAATAATTCTTAAAATTCAGAATATATAAACAAATAATTCAAAATATATTAAAAATGATTTTTAACTCATAAAAATAAAAAATTAACACAATATTTTAAAAATGTATAAATCTTACAAGGTGGTGGCGGCGGCGCAGCTGCAGTGAGTGGGAGAGCGACCGGCAGTGACCGGACGCGGCTGACAGCGAGAGGGAGAGCGGATGGCGACGAACGAAGAAAATGAAAAGAAGTGGCAGCGTAATAGTGGTGGCGTGGAGGTAGTTAAGAATTGAAGAATGTGGGGGAGAAAAATGAGTGGTTGGTAGAAAGAAGAAGAGGTTCGTGGATGAACCGACATCATATCTTGAATTTAAAAAATATGAATACTATACGACGTCGGTTCTATCAAAACCTACGTCGTATATTTTGTTAATTTTTTTTATATTTAAAATGAGATATAACATCGGTTTTTACGTAAAACCAACATTAAAACCCTTTTTAATAAAATAATAAATTTATTTAATATTTTGAAGTCAATTTTGTAAAAAAATCAACGTTTTATGTCTGACGTTGTAAGTGATTTCTGTAAGAGTGTATTGACTTTGTAACCACAAGCTAATGTTACAAGTTTGACTCCTAGCGGAAGCAATCTATTGACTTTATTGTTTTGAACTGGTCAATTATGAACAATCTCGACCAGGGCCGTCCCTGGCCATGTTTGGGCCAGGGCATGCTTACAGGGCCCCCAAATTTTGGGGGCCCCAAATGTATTATGTACTTACATTATTACATACGCTAGCTAGCAACAGTGAGCAAATAGCTTTTGTGCCCCCAAATTTTTGGGGGCACTTTTATTATTAAATATAAATAAATAAATAAATAAATAAAATATATATATATATATATATATATATATATATATATATATTATTGTATATTTATATTTTATATATTAATGTTGGTTTAACTTATGTATGAAGAAATTAAGACACTGTAAAATTTTAAAAAGCTTACATTTTTAATTTCAAAGAATTTGATTTAAATATAAAGTTATAGTATTATAATTTATAAAAATTGAAGCGGACGTATTTGACTATTATTGTAAAATTATTATATATAAAGAGTCAAAATTTACTCTTATTCCTATTATAATGCATACACGCAAGATTTATATTCACAACGCAGCAATTCGGTCTCAATAATCATTAATTTAAAATGCGTTATTTGTGTAATTGACATTCTCAATTTTTGTATTGTTCACGGATGAAAGTGTGTAAGTTAAATATTTTTAATTCTTTAATTTTATTCAGAATTTTTAAATTAGCAATTCAGTTAGGAATTTAATTTTTTGATGTGTGAATAACAATCTAATTTCTTGTATTTTGATGCTACAATTGCAATATCAAATAGTCTTGACTATCATTACTGTTGTTTTATGCATAAAAAAGTTTCTTAAAGTTGAAGTTGTTGAAATCTTATTTACCATCAAGTATATTGTATATGACTCAATAGATTGGTGAATGATTTTACATCTAAATATGTCCGAAGAAGAAGAAGAATGTCACTTTTCAAGTGAAAATTATAATGATAAAATTTTTTATAGAATATTATATATTGTGGTACAATATAATATATCTTTTATATATTTACAATTATACAAAAAGGGGCTCATGTTGAATTTTTGCACAGGACCCCAATTTTCTTAGAAACGGCCCTGATCTCAACTAGTTTACTTCATTGTGGTGGTCCTTTGTCGACGAGGTCCACAAAGCGGGATTTACGTGCACACCCTCAAGTAGTACCTTCGAGTTTCTCTCGTTACTAAAAAATATATAAAATTAATTTTATATGATTATATGTCTAGATTCAATTTCAACAAACTTAGATATATAGAATTAATTTTATAGGGTATATATGCCATAATTGACGCAAACCATTTATTCACTTGCTTAATTCATATAAATCATTTATAGTATGAAATCGCAAGATACTAAGTTCATATGCATTCCATTTCATTTATTTATTGACTTAATTCCATCACCTTTTAGAATTATTACTACGAAAAAATGGGTAACCCCAATACCTCCATTTTCTTTATGTTCTTCAAGCTGTGTCTAGTTTTTGCATTGTGTAATGCATCAGGAGACGATGAAAGGAAGGTATAGCATATATATTTTTATCTTTCTTCTTGAAATTTTAATTACTGCTAAAAAAAACACAAGATTAGTTGATTACTGATCGTACGAAAAAGTAGATAGTAGTTTAGAGTTTTTTTTTAACGCATAAATTAGTCTAAAATTAAAATTTCTTACCACCTTGTTCGCTCATTGTTTATCTTTACATTGTGACTATTTGTGATAGCCATACATTGTGTATATGGGAGCATTGCCGGCGGAAGGATCTAAAATATCATTGTCGGCTGTTCATGACAACATTCTGTCCCAAGCAATTGGAGAGTAATATTTTGAATTATCCATTTCTCTTATCTAATCTAACTATTACTTATATGAATCAATGAGAGCTATATTATTCTTAAATTATATTTGTGTTTTTTTGTGCTTGTAAAGTTGTACATGATATTAATATTATTGTACTTTAATGCTAAAAATATCCTTATACCGTTAAATATTATGTTAGTTTTTTTTTTTTTTTTTTTTTTTGAAGGGGAAAAAAAATAATGTTAGTTAAGTAAGAAATACTAAATGAATTTATGTAATTGTATTTACTTTAATACATTACTTGCCAAAATAATTTCTTTAATTAAATATTATGTTAAACTAAATATTTTTTTTTACTATATATAAATGGATTATTATTTTCATATTTACCTAAACAAATACTCCGTATATGGTTATTAGAAATATATATAGATATATAGATAATGTACACACACACATAATCTTCTTAATATAAACATAAATATTTTAATATAATATAGATTATTTGATTCGTGTTATATATTTATTCATTATTTTTAAAATTGTTGTAGTATAATCATAATTTTCACATTAAGCATCAATTTTGGAGGTTACACATATTTGAGACCATCTCACGGGGCAAATTACGTTGTGGATACGTGTTCACCATGCACATACCATATGGGTTAGATCCATAATTTATATGTTGTAAATTCGTAATTTTATTTTACATTTATTGTTAACGGCGTTTCTCTTTTCGCAATCGCATTATTTCGTCTTCGCAATACAGATATTATGAATCTATAGTACAGAAGTTATGAATCTACAGTAAAGAAATTATAAATCTACAGTAAAAAAGTTATGAATCTACAGTATAGAAATTATAAATCTATAGAGTATAGAAATTATGAATCTACCCCCGTGTACAGTATAGAAATTATGAATCGATGTTCATATTATCAATTGTTGAACTCTGTATTCACAAATCACATAACTATATTATGAATTTACGATATATAAATTATGAATCTACAGTATAGATGTTATAAATCTACAGTATAGAAATTATAAATCTACAGTATAGAAATTATGAATCTACAGCATAGAAATTATAAATCTACTCCCGCGTTCACCATGCGCATGGTGAGCACGTATCCACAACATAACACTCCATCTCACGGATCGTTATCTATTTGATGGGTTGGGTTGGGTAAATATGAACATTTAATAATTATACTAAAAATTGTAATATTAATGTTTCTCTTATATAATAAGTAAGGGAAAGTATAATACTTTTGGAAAAATAATGTAATACTTTTATATATTTTTTTGAAACATATTACACTTTCTCATATAATTAAGTAATAAAAACTTTATTTTTGATTAGTATTATTTATCCTAACCCAACTTGTCTCACAAACAAGGATATGCATGAGACGGTCTTACAAAAGTTTTTATCCAATTTTGGATACTTAATTTTGTGCAATGTACATATAAATAGTAGTAGTAATTCATTATTTTCTTCTAATATCCATTTGTTTGATTTACATCCCAGTGAAAGTATAGCACGGCAGTCAAAGATACATACCTATGGAAGAAGCTTTAATGCATTGGCAGCAAAGTTGTTGCCTCATGAAGCTAAGATATTATCTGGTTTGAAGAATTTTAGGACTCTTTTACTTTATATCTCTTATTTTTAACTTTATGAGGTTATCACCATTTTTAGTATCATTTTTGAATTGCAGAAAAAGCTGGAGTTGTGTCAGTATTTCCAAGTGTTAATCGAAAGCTTCATACTACACATTCTTGGGATTTCTTAGGAATGCCAACAACTGTAAAGAGGAATTTGAAAGTAGAAAGTGATATTATTATAGGTCTCATCGATTCAGGTAAAAGAAAAAAATTATCCATATTAATAACTACAAAATAGTGAACAAAATCATTTAAATTGATTTCCATGGCATGTATAGCTAACTAATTGTTTGGATATATTTGATGTTGGTAGGAATTTGGGTTGAGTCACCAAGCTTCAATGACAGTGGCATAGGACCTCCACCTGCTAAATGGAAGGGTAAATGTCAAAATGGATTAAATTTCACCGGCTGCAACAAGTATGTATATATTGTAGATCATAATATATATATATATATATATATATATATATATATATATATATATATATATATAATCAAATGAGACAACATCTTCCCATTATGTATATATATATGTGACATGAATAAACTTTGTCTTGTGATCCTAACTGTCAAAGAATCACATAGAAGGAAATAAATTAAACTAACTTAAGTTTTTCACAGCTCACCAACTTAATTAAAAAAAAATGACAATATATATATTCCACTAGGAGGGAAACTAGTCTGATCAATTATTTTGGTTATTCAAGGGTAATGATTATAACCAGTAATTGCACATGGCCCTTAATCTTACTATCTATTATCCCTGTTTGATAAACGGCGGTTAGCTTATAGCTGTTATCTGATTGAGTTAATTAGATAGTATAACTAGTTAATAACATTAATATTAGTTGATTGTAAAATTATGTTTGGTAAATTAACTGATAACTGTTTAGTATAATTTCTTTTTTCAACCAACCAAATAAAAAAGTTACTTTGACCATGGTCCACACAATAATGATTTGATTTGTCTTCCTTGTTTGAATGATTTTGAGATTTATAAATGTGAATATGCCATTATATATACTTGGTATTTGTTTATGCAGCAAAGTTATTGGTGCCCAAGCCTTCAGCCTAGTTAATCCCAATAACAAGAGCACTTCCCCCGCCGATTTCGATGGCCACGGCACGCACACCTCTTCAATCGTCGCCGGTTCACTACACCAAGGCGCAAGCCTCTACGGCCTCCTCAACGGAACAGCCCGCGGCGGAGTGCCGGCAGCGCGTATAGCTATGTACAAGGCGTGCAACGGAGACCTGTGTAAGGACGAGGACATCCTCGCAGCGTTTGACGCCGCCATTGCTGACGGAGTGGATATATTATCGGTGTCCCTAGGCGCGATCGCCACATCCTACAATAATGATCCAACGGCAATTGGCTCCTTCCATGCCATGCAAAAGGGGATACTCACTTCTTGCTCTGCCGGGAATAATGGCCTGTGGACGACTGTTCAAAATGTGGCTCCTTGGATCCTCACCGTTGCCGCTGCTTCCACCGATCGACACCTAGAGACTCAACTTCAATTGGGTGATGAACAAATATTCTCTGTAAGCCCCTTCCCTCCCTCATTAATTTATTATGAGATAATTATATTTTTAATCGAGTTAATTCCACCAGAAGTCCTCTATTTTGGTGGCAATTTTAAATTTAGTCTAAGATTATCATTTTTACAATTTAACATCCAGATTATTATTTTTTAGACACTTTTAGTCGTTCACAAATGTTCTTACTAAAGATAGGAAAAGTCATGAGAAGGACTAAAAATGTCCGAAAAATAATAATCTGGAATGTTAAATGACAAAAACATTAGTCTGAGACTAAATTTGAAATTACCACAAAAAACAATGGACTTACAGTGGATTTAACTCTTTTGAATCTAACACAAACTAATCAATTCCATCTCTGATAATTGTGTGAAAGGGAATTTCTATCAACTTAGTTAACAGCGGTCCATTTCCACTTATAAATGGAACACAAGCAGATTTAAGCAAGTAAGAAATTCTACATTTAACCTTTTTTTTTTTTAAGGTGACAAGCCATTATGTTTTAATTATTTACTCTACTGAGATGTCTAAATTTATTTATTTTTATTATATAAATTACATAAATTGTTTTTAAAACAATTATACTCCGTATTATTTATTATAATTTTCACTTTTCAACCACATTAATTTATAGATCGGAGGAATTGAATATTATGTTCATACAGGAATTGTGACCTCGGTCCAGTTAACAAAACTAAAGTGAAGGACAAGATTTTGTATTGCGTGGCAAATATTCGACAAGATCAGAATATACAGGGCAGCGGAGCTAAAGGAATTATCTTTTCAAGTGATTATTTTTTGGATGTTGCATTTCCCTATAGAATGCCTGCTACTGTTGTCAATTTTACAGAATTTCATGATAAAATTGCCAAATATATCAACTTGACAACGTAAGTTTCAAAAAAAATATATATATAGGACTTATAATTTAATATATTATATAGCATTACGTACACATTGAAATATCCATGCAGGCAACCAACGGCCGTGATTCACCCAACAAAAGTTGTCAATATTGAACAGTCATTCGTGGCCTCTTTTTCATCTAGAGGACGCCAATATATAGTCCCTAACCTCTTAAAGGTCAGAATTTTTTAAATTCTTTATTTTGATTCTCTATTTATCGATCACGAATTTTATATATACTCGATCTCATCTATCTCACACATCTTACTCTATATATATAGCCTGATATATCAGCACCAGGGTTGAACATATTGGCTGCATTTTCACCTTTGATTTCTATAAGTCGAGATGTAGATGATACAAGAACCTCAGACTATAATGTTTTATCTGGAACATCCATGTCTTGTCCTCATGTTTCTGCTGTTGCTGCCTATGTTAAGTCTTTCCATCCTGACTGGTCACCTGCTATGATCAAGTCAGCTTTGATGACTACAGGTTAGCAACTTAGCTTTGATGCCATGCATCCCAAGTTGTCTACATATATATAATAACTACTATTTCTAACTTTTTTTGGAATAATTAATGTGTTCAGGTTTATGCATGTTGTAACATTATCTATCTTACATGTATGTATGTATCGGTTTCAGCAAAACCCCTAGGAGTGAAGGACAGTGATGCAGAATATGCATACGGAGCTGGAATGGTTGATCCGACAGCAGCGTTGAATCCCGGCCTTGTTTTTGACATCGATGAAGCTGCCTACATAAGTTTTCTCTGCAAGGTTGGATACAATGGTTCTACATTAGTTCAAATAACGGGTAACAAAACCAACGACTGCTCAACAATTTCACCAGCAACCGGAAAAGATGGACTCAATTACCCTACCATTAATCATGATGTCCGACTAAATATTAACACTACCAACTTCGATGGTGTATATCATCGTACTGCTATCAATGTTGGGGACGGTTCGGCAATTTACAAGGCGCAAATCCAAGCGCCAAAGGGTCTATCTATTGAGGTTTCTCCCAATATTTTATTGTTCAAAAACAAGAATGAGAAGAAATCTTTTAACGTTACTTTGTCAGGAAGATATCCAAAAGACCCTACAAGGCGTTTATCTGGGTCTATAATTTGGAGTGACACTATGCACAATGTGAAGATTCCAATCGTGATATAA